GTTTTGCTTAAGATTTCCTCGCAAATCTGAACTCGGAGGTGCCCTGCCCCATGGTCGTTTGGCCACTTTCGCCTGCAAGATCCCCGCAACAGTGTGTGCCGAGACGCCCAGGGTTGAGGTGTTCAGGCCACTTTCGCGTCAGACATCCTCGCATGTCTGACCGTTGAGTCGCCCTGCTCCCAGCCCCATGGTGATCAGGCCACTTTCGCCTGCTGCATCCTCGCAGCTGTGGGTTCCGGGATGCCCTGAGCAAGGATATTCGCGCCATTTTCGCTTGAGTCATCCTCGCAACGCTAACCTCATACACTCCCTGCCCCAAATTGTGCTGACCAGTTCCGCCTGGACAAACTCGCAGTGTTGACCTGAGATGCACCCTGTCTTGAAGTAGTCTGACCCCGGATCTGCCGCGAGATACGGTGTTCAGGCCACTTTCGCCTGATACGCCCTCGCACCTCTAACTTCGATGATGCCCTACCCCATGGTGGTCGGGCCACTTTCGCTTGCGACATCCTCGCAACAGTGGATTCCGAAACGCCTAAAGCTGACCTGTTCAAGCCACTTTCGCATGAGACATCCTCGTAACCCTCGGGTCTGAGATGCCTTGAGCTGAAAGCTCAGGCCACTTTCTCCTTAAACATCCTAAGAGATCTGACCTCGGATATGCCCTGCCCCAAGTTGGTTCGGCCACTGTCGCCTGAAACCCTCGCAGGGTCTACACTACCACGCAGATCATCGTATGCAACGGGGGAAACTCGGACCCCTGCAGAACTCCGTCCGCACTAGAGCCAATCTCAAAACTCACGCTGATCAGGGAGAGCCGCCCCAGAGCCGTCGTCGTCGTCGTCGCGGCGGGAGCCTGACAACCGGCCGATAAACCGATAAGCCGGTAAACCGGTAAACCGATATGCGGCGCCAGGATCGACTCCTCAGGGTTGCCCCCAGCGGTTTCAGACCAGCCAGTCACCCGATGGGCCGATAAACCGATGAACCAATAAGCCGATACACCGACGAAGAGAAAGATAGCGCGCCGGCCATCGTCTCTATGTTCGCAGATAAAGGTTATCGGTTTATCGGTTTATCAAGCGATAAACCGATATAAACATATCGGTTTATCGGTTGATTTGCCGATAGACCGATCAACCGATAATTGTTTATCGGTTCATCGGCTTATCGGTCGGATGGATTTCCAGAGGCCTTTGCCGCTGCACTCGACATCTTTATATTTTGAGTACGCTAAATCACGCGCAGAGGGGGGTAGAAGGAGGGGGGAAGGCTTCTTAGCAGGACCCTTGATTCTTAGAAGGCGCGGGCCGTATCTAGCCTTCTTCAGAGAAGCCTTCCTCCCTCCCCCTACCCCTTGTACACGCCGCCAATACGGGGTCCCCAGAAGTCCCGACACGTTCCCCAGTGCCGGCTTTTCAGCCCGAGCCGTTTTCTGATTGCCCCAGTGCCGGGCGAGAATCCCCAGAAGCCGAAATTGGCCAAAATCTTCCCGTCGTGATTTTTCCACGACGCGAGCATGTTTGGGTCGAAATGTAGCACATGGGGAAAAATCACAACCAGAGCCCCAGACCCCATCTTTCTGCTGTAGTTCTCGTGCTGGATCGACCTCTGAGGGTCCCGGGGCCCGAGGTCGGACGAAAACGCTCGGTGCGACAATGTTGCAACGCTGGATCTCAGGGGTGTACGGTGGGCGTCTTCCCGCACCAGGGCGGCCAAGATTGGCGCGGGGCACTCATGGGGGCCGGGAAGCGGCGCGGCCGCCGCCGCGATGTGCTTGGCGGCCGCGTGTCCGTCGCCACCATGGTCTCGGCTTGCGCGCTGCTCTCAGGCCGTGCGGGGCGGCCCGTCGGCCTCTGCCTTTTCAGGGGAGGGCGAGGAGAAGGGGAGGGCGGAGGAGGAAGCCTGGCAGAAGGGGAGGAAGGAATTGGATGAAGAGGTGGGAGGAGGGAGGAGGAGGAGGAGGGAGGGAGGAGGGAGGAGGGAGCAGGAGAAGGAAGAGGAGGAGGTGGAAGGACGAGGTCCTTCTTCACAGGTCCCTGCAAACATTAGATTTAACCGAGGGAGGTCTTTAGTTTTGCGCTCCACCCCCTGTTTCTCTTGGCGGGGACTAAACTCCGCCCCTCCTCCTGCTCCTCTTCCTCCTCGTCCTTCTCCTCATCCTCGTCGTCGTCGTCGTCGTCGTCTGTGTGCGGCGGGTGCCGCGGAGAAACAATAATTTTCTTATGTTTCTGGGACCCCAGTCCGTCAATAAGGGCGTGGCAGGGATGCTTAGTTTCCAGTAGTGGGGGTCTGAAGATCGATCGCGATTAATTGCGAGAAGTGCCCCCTTGGAAGGCAACCGCCTGAGTTTTTTCTATCGTACCAAAACATCGTTCTTAGGTTTTCTACGTATCGATTTCACGTGACTGCTGCGTTGTGACAACCCTGGGTCGTGCCAGGGCACCTGTTTTGGGATACCAACACCACGCATCAACGTGGCTGTCAATCCTAAGTCGTTCGGGAACACTGCCCCTGGGAGTTCAACATCACGAATCTTTGAAACTCCTTCAAACTTTTAAGACGAATGCGCGCGGCACTATCGCGAGAACCACAAGTGGAAACGGGACCGCCCTTTATTCTTTAAGCAGTCGCAAATTTGTAAGACGAATGTGCGCGGCGCCAAAGCAAGAGCCACAATTTGAAAATGGACCGCATTTCATTAACGAATTTGTTGCACATTTTCAGCATTGACGTACTCAGCGTGAAGGCGGGAATCACATTCTGAAAACGGCCCGCCCTTCATGTGTGGAATTGCTGCAAACTCTCAAAGCTGATGTGCGTGGCGCTAATGTGAGAGCTACATTTTGAAAACGACCCGTTCTCCATCCTTCAAGCTGCTGCAACTTGCTAAAAGGACTGCGTGGCGTTAAAGCGAGAGCCACAGTTTGTAAAGGACCTGCCCTCCATCTTCGAAGGTGCTGCAAACTTTTAAAAGACATGCGCGCGGCGCTAACGCGAGACCCACTTTTTGACAATGACCCGGCCTCCGTCCGAGAAGCTGCTGTACATATCAAGCTTCAAGATCATAATGGTGAGGGAGTGTTAGGCGAATCGCCCGGCCAGCCCTACCGACACGCTTGGGGGTGCAACACGGGTGAGTTATTTGTAAGGACAAGAAGGGGTGGAGGAGGAGGAGGAGGAGGAGGAGGAGGAGGAGGAGGAAGGAGAACGAGGGAGGAGGGAGAAATTACGAGGAGGAGAAGGGCGAGGAAAGGGAGGGCGGGAGGAGGAGGAGGAGGAGGAGGACGAGGCGGAGGAGGAGGAGGAGGAGGAGGAGGAGGAGGAGGAGGAGGAGTGAGCTCGAAGAGAAGGAGGAGGAATGACGGAGGAGGGGGATGGATGGGCATGAGGACGTGCCCCGCGACATTGTGACACCACCTCCCGGCCGCGGCGATCCCGCTGGGGCGGGCGCGGACAAGGCGAAGGACTTGGTGGCGGGTAAAGCGGGCACCCCTGGTGCCCAGGACGGTGGCGTTCGGCGCATGGCCTTGGGCGCGCTCCTGGGCGGGGGGCGGAGAGGCCCGCGGCACCCCCGCCCGAGGCACGGCTCCTCCTGGCAGGTCGCCCGGCTGGCGCCTTGCACGCTGGAGGGCGCGGGACCGACGGCTTCTCCCGTGCGCCACCTCGGCGCCGAGCGAGGGGGGGGGGGGCAGTGAGAAGGAGAAGGCCTTCTCAGAAGGCGACGGGACTTCTCACAAGGCCTCTGGCCTCCTGAGAAGTTCACCATGTCTTCGGGGAAGGCCTGGAACACATCTCAGAAGGCCTGGGGACTCCCGAGCCTTCTGAGAAGGCCTTCGCCTTCTCACTTCCCCTCCGGGTGGTGGAAAAATCACGACGCGGGGTTGTTGGCCGTTTTCGGCCTTCAGGGCCCCCCGCCGAGCCTGGAGGCCGCCAGAAGAACAGCTCGGGGCGAAAACGCAGCCTTGGGGAGATGCTTCGGGCCTCCGGGTACCGCGTGCTGAACAGATCCAGGCACCGCATGTTCGGGGGGGTGGGATCCCGCACGAGGCGCGCGCGCCACCCCCTTCGACAAAAACCCTCTTCGGGATCGGTCTCCCCCCCCGTCGTCATATGCGGGCCAGTTGCCTTCGTCTCGGTCGGTGTTCGGTGGCCTGCAGGGCCCGAAACGTATTTCCGGGTGCCGAACTCCTGCAACAAAATTTCAACGGCGCCATGCAGGCCAAGTTCGTCACCCCGGCGCGATTTTCAGCGACCCCAGGGCGAGAGATGGGCCTCAAGTTGCCAGTGCGTTTTTCCCCGAACAGTGCTTGCACTTAGGGGTTCTTACGCGCGCCCCTCAAGTAATTGGACGGGTCGGCAGAGGATTTTGCACGTTGCCGCCCAGTGCCGCCTCGTGGGCGCTCGCGGGCGCGCCGTACGCTGGGTGGGTCGGCCGAGGCCGTGCCGCCTCGTGGGCGCTTGTGGGCGACCCATGCGCTGAGCTTGCAGCAGCTTGCACATCACTTTCACCTCCAGCTCATACCACAGAGATATTACACGAAATAGCCTGCACCACATGGCGTCGCTGGGGCCCCTGGCGGCGCCTCCGGCGCCATCAGTGCTGGCAGCTGTCCGCCCTCCACTCCTGACTCTTGACCTTGCGCGTCTTTGCTGCTTCCAGGCTCAGGCATCCAGAAGGACGGAGGATGGAGGGAGGAGGAAGTGAGGAAGGATGACGGAGGGAGGGAGGGGCGATGGAGGATGAAGTGAGCGAGGGAGGAGACGGAGGCAGGACCAAGGAGGTGCGTGGTGTGAGGAGGGGAGGAGGATAATTAGAGTAGGAGGAGGAGGAGAGAGGATGTGGATGGAAGAAGGGCGTCTGCTAGCTTGGGCTCAGCCGCGAGGATGTGGATGGAAGAAGGGCGTCTGCTAGCTTGGGCTCAGCCGCGAGCCTTCTTTTTCGCGAGCGTCGTTCCGGCGTGAGCCCGCCGCATTCGAGAGTACCACCGGCAGGCAGCATGGTGGAGCTTCGCTTGGAGGCGCTTGACTCTGGCAGCCTGCCGAAGGACTGCTACGTGTCAATGCGTGTGGGCGACACGCAGAGGCTCTCCAAACTGGCCGGGACGCGTACCTTTCGCTTCCCAAGCGGCTCGGAGCAGCGGCTCGGCAAGATCGAAATCTTCAAGCGGATCGGCGCTTGCAGCATCGACGTGGAGCCAGCGGCCCATGCAGGCCGAGAGGTGCGCATCGCCTGTACCGACAACGTCGGCGAGCTCGGCCTGCGTGTGCACCAGGAGGCTGGCGCGGCGACGAAGCAGGAGGTGCAGGACCAGTCAGTCGCATCGAAGGGTGAAAAGATGAAAGCGTACAGGGAGTACTTGAGCAAGCACGGCTTGGAGGTGCTCATTTCCGAGGCGATGTCGGCGGTGCTGCGCCAGCGCCCTGACCAGCCAGTGGATTTCCTCGTGGAGCGCCTGAAGCAGGGCAAACCCTTCCCGGTGGCGGAGAAGCCTGTGCACGCGTCTGTCCTGGAGAAGCCCGCGCCCGTCACCACGCAGAACGCACTCGAGGCGGCGACCAGTCCCTCCGCTCAGCAGGCGCAGTCTCCCGTGGAGAAGCAACCAGGGAAGGGCGCGTACTATGCGACCCACGTGCTACCTTGCGTTGACAAAGCAGCGTGGAGCAGCCTCTACGCCGCTTTCTCTCGGGCAACGAGGCCAAAGGCGGCCACTCCTGAGGCGGCCCCGACGCCCTCGCCGCTGGGAATTGCCGCGGCGGCCGCGCTTGTAGGCACGCCGCCGTCGGTGGGCACATGGCTGGTCAGCAGGAGGAAGGCGCCTGGCCCGATCAACCCCGTGGTGCCCTTGCTGTTCCCGGGCGCCGGGGCCAGCCGCCCGCAAGCACCCTTTGCCGCTGCGTCAGCCGCGTCCGGGCCGTCTGCTGCGGTGGCAACGGCGGCACCGCAGTCGCCGCCCAGCTCGGCCGCCGCCGAGCATGGAGCTCCCTGGTCGCTGACGCCGTCGGTGGGCACCTGGCTGGCCGTGGCGCCGAAGGCGACGGCCCGCGAGGCTCCACACGGTGCAGCCGCCGTGGCCCGCCAGGCCGCCTTCGAGCCGTCCGCGCAGCCCACGGCAGAGCCCGCGGCGCCCTGGGCGTGGAAGCCCTCAGTCGGCACGTGGGTCAGCGGGGTGACCCCGCCGAAGGCCGGTGGCGCCTGCGGGCTGGTGACGACGTGCCGGCGCCTCGCGGGGCTGGGGTCCCCGGGGGCGATGACGACGGGCCAGCGCGTCGAGGTTGAGCGGGTCGTCAGCGCGGCCCTACTGGACATGGGCGGGAGCCTCGCGGGGGAGTATTTCCCCCTGCGAACCTCGACGAGCTTCGCCATGAGGCCCTCGAAAAACAAGACACTGCATAAACATAGGCTTTCGGAGGTCCACGCTGATTTCTTGGAGCGGCGTCTCTGGCGCTCCCCCTGGCACGCTCCGCGCGCCAAGGATGGGAGCCCAGCGCCGATCCAAGACATCCGTGCGGACATCCAACAATTTATGGTCACGCCTTGTGGTCCCCCCAGAGGCCTGGAGGGATGTCCGATGACGAGCAGCGGGCCCTGGCCCAGGCAGGCCTCCTCTTTGAGGCCGAGGAGGCCGACGGCCGCGGGGTCTTCGTGACCTTCGGCGGGCGGTCCGCGGTGTGGCTCAACGCGCAGGACCACCACGTCACCTTCGTGACAGCCCCAGGGCTCGAGCCGCAGGGCGCGGCGGCGAGCCTGAATGCGCTGGAGGGTGCTGTAGACGAGGCGATGCGGCTCTTCGGCTACGCCCTCTGCTAGAGACCGTGGCCCCTGGCGCGTGGTTCGACAGTCAAGTCGCATAGGAAGGATGAGCAGCTTTCCCAGGCTACCCTTGCATCCTTGCCCGTTCGTCCCATCCTTGGCGACTTTCGCTGGCCAACCCCGCTCGAACAGTGTGAACATGGCCCTCCAGGGCCCTTGCATCCTTGCCGCGCATTCTTATTACGCGACTTGAATGAACACCAGCCCAGGAGAGTAATGCAGCTGTCGTCGTTGATCTGATTGTTTTCGTCGCCTTCGTTTTTTCCTTTTGTTTGGCCTCTGGGGGCCGCCTTCGGGCCTCAGGACCGCCAGAAACGGACCCGGGATGAATGGACCCCTGAGGGAAGTCCTGGACGATTTTTCGACACGACCTGCAAACGTCGCATTGCTTTTCCAGGTGGGTGCAGCCCTGCCAGATGAGGTCCAAGGAGATGGGATTGGAGGATCGCGCTGCCTCGCCGATGCGTCGTTGATGCGGCTCGATGTGGACCCTGGTTTTCTTCGCGCCGACGTCGCCGATGTATCGCTGGCGTCGCTGATGCATTGCCGATTCATCGGCGATGCGTCGGCGATACGGCGCGATCCTTTGAGCCCATCTACTCGGACCCCATCCGGGAGGCCTCTCGTGGTGATGTTTTGCCGCCGGTGGAGTCAGTTTTGCCACGCCGGCTGGCACATGAATTCCAAGCATGGCTCGAAGAAGAAAAATCAGCATACATAAACTGTCTGACCTTCGCGTGGTTTCTTGGATGTGCGTTGCGCCCCTCTGGCGCGCTCCGCGCACCAGGGAGGGGGGTCCAGCGTGGATCCAAGAAATCCGCGCGGACTTCCGGAAGTTGTTGTTCACGCAGTTTTGTCTTCCTCTAGTAATTTGGGCTCCTGCCTTGCTCCAGCTGATCTGTGCAAGAAATCTTTGCTGAAGCTCAGATTTAATTGTCCCTTTTGTCGCCCCAGTTGTGACACGCGTAGATCGGAGGGCGGGGGATGATATTGAAGCGAATCGAAGACTCCACCACCGATAAATCGAGTTCGTTTTCGGTCTCGTCATACGTGTGGGTGGGGCGACGCTGCGCAAGGGCCATAATGATTCTTAGTCGCTACGCGGAACGCCACCAGCACATCCAGAAACAGTGCCCAAGCGAGTCGCCCTGACCAAGGATGTATATGAGCATGCAGTGGACTAAAGGGCTGGGGGAGCCGTCATACCCCAAGAGGGGGAGGATGGAGGATGACTCGGATGTGGAGGGGGAGGAGGATGAGGGAGGAGGGAGGAGGGGGAGGAGGAGGAGGAGGAGAAGGAGGAGGAGAAGGAACAGGTGGATGAGCAGGAGGAACAGGAGGAGGAGGAAGAGGAGGAGGAGGGCGAGCAGAAATGCCAGAGGCTTCTCGGAAGCCTCTCGGAGTCTTCTTGGATTGAGAGCTTCTTGGAGTCCTCTTGGGGCGTCTGGAGGGCCTCTTGACGCTCCCGGGGGCCTCCTGGAGCGTCTTGGGTGCCTCGGGGGAGCCTCTTGGTGCCTCTTGGAGGTCCCTTGAGGGATGGTTGCCCTGCGCGCAGCAAGCAATATGAAGGCAACTCCGCCGTCCCTGTCAAAACCAATCCAATGCAACGTGGTCGCGGGGCGCCCGCGCATGCTCCAGACTTTGAGGCACAGTGTATGTCGTATTGGTTTTGGACAGGGATGTTCGGCTTGCGCGCAGCATCCGACACGAGGCCCTCCCCGCCGTCCTGGTCAAAAACCAATGCAAACTGGTCGCGGGGCGCCGGCGCATGATCCAGATTTGGAGGCAAAGTGTATGTTGTATTGTTTTGTTGGCAGGGACTGCGGGGGGGGTATCGGCATGGGTTCGGGTTGGCTGCCGGTCGTGTGGGGGGCGGGGTGTCTGTTGATAGGGAACAGTGGCAAACTCTTTCCCGAAGGGGACGAAGGGAAACGCTGTGAACCACTCACGCCCTAAAGGTCTGGTGGGATTTTTCCCTGGCGAGAAGCATCTCACGTAATACTCACGTAATCGTAGGTTGGGGGGTGAGATCGCAGGGAAACGGAGACCCCCCACTGGGAAATCGGTTTCGGTTTCGTGTTCGTGTCGTGCGTGCGGGCGAGGCGAAGCTGCGCGTGATCCTCCTGTAGCTAGCCCGAAGTAGGAGAGAAAGTCCGTTCCCGTCCGCCAGTGGCTGGGAGCTGTCCCTGTTGGGCTGGGCAGTGTCCCGGGTGTCCCGGGTGTCAGTAGGAGCGAAAGTCCGTTTCCCGTCCGCCGGTGGCCAGGAGGTGTCCCAGTTGGGCCGGGCGGTGTCCCGGGTGTCCCGGGTGTCCCGGCGCTAACGAATGTCGCTAATTTCATAATTCATTTTTTTTGGCGCTTGCGGCGGGCTTTATTATCCAATCCAGCTTATATTCTCCAATCCATATTGTCCAATCCAATCCGTCTTATCTTATCCAACCCATTTTGTCCCATTTTATCTTATCCCACCCAATCCAACCCACCCAACCCAATCCATCAATTCATCTGTTTCTGCGGCTGCGGCGGGCCAATCCAATACATCTTATCTTATCCAATCCATTTCTTCCAATCCAGCCCATCTTATCTTTTCCAATCCATATGATCCCATCCAATCCAATCCACCCAACCCAATACATCAATTCATGTTTGTCGGCGCCTGCGGCGGGGTTTCTTATTCAATCCAGCTTATCTGATCCAATACATTTTATCCAAACCAATATATCTTATCTTGTCAAGCCCATACTGTCCCATCTTATCTTATCCCACCCAATCCAACCCATCCAACCCAATCCATCAATTCATTTGTTTCTGCGCCTGCGGTGGGCCAATCCAATCCATCTTATCTTATCGGCGCTTGCGGCGGGCTTTCTCATTTTGTTTTTGAAATCAATAGTGATATCGACAGTGAGATTCACCGATAGGTCGGTCGACGGATAGGTAAATAGTGGGATCTCATCGTCATCGCGATCATCATTGTGGCGGAGGGAGCCTCTGATAGAGAGGGAGAGAAAGAGAGAGGGCGAGAGAGAGAGAGACAGACAGAGAGAGAGAGAGACAGAGAGAAAGAGATATGACATCAAGGTGACAAGCTGGAGGTCAGTCAGGGTGGGCATTTGATTTCAATCTCCCCCCAGCCTCCTTATCGCCCGCAGGGCGGTCGTATAGCTACACTCCCCTTCCTTCCCCCCCCCCTTCCTCGCTCACGTCTTCCCTTGGCGTCAGCGGAAGCCTTGGGCAGCCTTAGCTTGCTCTAGCTCAGCCTTAGCCTTAGCCTTAGCCTTAGCCTGCTCTAGCTCAGCCTGCTGCTTCTCGAGAAGCTCCCCCTGCTGCTTGACCTGCTCGTCCTGGTTATGTGCCTTCCCAGACTCCTTGGAGAACTGCCCCCTGAGCTTCATGTTCTTCTGGTGCAAGTCGTCCAAACGCTTGTTGCTCTTTAGGGTAACGTCCGCCACTGCGTCGCATAGGCGCTTATACGATGCATCTTTGAACTGCTTGAGCGCCTCGTGCAGCTTCTGCTTCACCCAGGGTCTGTTCAGGAACGCCTTCAATGCCTTCACGCGGGTTCTGTTCATGTTGTTGACACGCTTGCGCTCGAGCGCGGCCTCCGACGACGAAGGCACGATGGCAATGCGTGGGCATCTTGAGCCAAAAGGGGCTACGATAGCAGAAAGAATGTGGAGGATAGCAGGGGGGTGTGATGATGGGGGATTGGAGAGGAGAGCGAGGGAAGCAGGAAGAAGGCGAGGAAGAGGGAGGAATCAAGACAGGGAGGACGATGGGAGGAATACGCATAAATGATAAGAGGACGTGGATGGGGAGGCAGGAAGAGGAAGAGGGATGGGTCCACACAGTGAGGACGATTGGGGGGAAAGGCATGGAGGTGAAGAAGAAGTGGATGGGGGAGGGAAGCATGAAGAGGACGAGGGAGGGATCAAGGTAGGGAGGGCGATGGGGGGAAGAGGCATGAGGGATAACCAGAAGTGAACGGGAAACAAACATCGGAGAAAGGATGCAGAGGAAGGGCGGACGAGCGGGGACGGATGAAGAGAGGGAGGACGACAAATGAGAGTAGGAATGAACGCCTCAACGACCGATGCAAAATCAATGGGTGCTGGGGGGGGGCTGCGTGTTCATGTGCGAAAGAGCGTGTTCTACCGCTGCTGGCGGAAAACCGGGGGGGGGCCACTACCGGTTCGAACCCCTCCCCCCCCCCCCCCTCGGAAAACCGGGGGGGGGTCACTACCGGTTCGAACCCCTCCCCCCCCCCAGCTCATCATGAAAAGGGGGGGGGGGTCACTACCGGTTCGAACCCCCCCCCCCCCCCTTCGAATTCGAAAACCGGGGGGGGGGTCACTACCGGTTCGAACCCCCCCCCCTCGAAAACCGAGGGGGGGTGCGGACAGTGGTGGGGACGGTGGTGGTGGGGACAGTGGTGAGGGGACAGCGGGACAGTGGTGGGGACAGTGGGACAGTGGTGGGGACGGTAGTGGTGGGGACAATGGTGAGGACAATGGTGGGAACAGTGGGGACAGTGGGACAGTGGTGGGGACGGTGGTGGTGGGGACAGTGGTGTGGGGACAGTGGGAATGTGGTGGAAACAGTAGGACAGTGGAGGGTACAGTGGTGGTGGGGACAGTGGTGAAGGCGGTGGCGAGGACGGCGGTGGGACAATGGGACAGAGGTACAGTGGGGACAGTGGTGGGGACAGGGGGGACAGTGGTGGGAACAATGGGACAGTCAGTGGGACAGCGGAGGAGTCAGTGGGACAGTGGGGACAGTGGGGATAGTCGGGCAGTGGTTGGGGCCGTGGAGAAAGTTGGGAGAGTGGAGCCGTGGTGGGAACAGTGGTGGGGACAGTGGGGACAGTGCGACAGTGGTGGTGGCACTGGTGGGGACAGTAGGGGCGGTGGTGGAACCAGTGGGGACAGCGGTGGTGAGGACAGTGGCGCTGGGAAACAACAGTGGGGGATGTGGTGAGGACGGTGGTAGGGACCGGG